AAGTTCACAGACAAGAAGTCTTATTTAGATATTCCTTTACCCCACTGTGCAAAATTCAGCACAGAAATTTTGGCATGGATTTTGTAAGGGGAAAAAATGTGTACAACTTTGGATAAAGACTGCTCGAGAAAATATTGGGAGAGAAGATAAAGTGCTATCTATTTTAACCACTCTATCTCCTTAGTTAAGGGAGCTAATCTCCTTAACTAGTTATATCTCCTGATTAAAACGGATCCTTGTGTGATGTCTGCCCTCTGGACAATGATAAGGAATGCAAGTTAGATGACTTGCTTAAATCAACTCTTCAAATCAAAAACAGAATCACGGAAGCTGTTTTAAAATAGGAACAGTAAGCAAAACAGAATGAGGTCTCCGAAAGCCTGGGGCTTAGCCATCCAATGGAACCATCAGATCATTATTTTTAAAAAAGGAGTTATTATTGTACGAGTAGAAAATAATATTTAATTTTAACATTTAAATGTAACCCAATTAAAACAAGTTGAATTTTTATCCTGGTCCCACTCACTACTTTTCAACATAAGCCCCAGTCTAATGTTTAATTGTGGCATTGGCCCCAGGGGGAAAAAATTGTGCATCCATGTATTAAAATATCAGTTGGGTGTACTGGATGAGAAAGACTGCAGTGACAGAATACCAAGGAAACTGGAATCTATAGCAGCTTTCGCTATCCCACCTATTTTTTTTTTTTTATATATCCTGATTAGCAAGACTCCTGAACTTAGGCACAGTAGATCTTTGTCATTTACTGCAAAGGCTTTCCAACATTTTCTTCTCTTTATTGTTTGCAAGAGTAACGTCTTTGATGAATCACATCTTTCAGACCGGTATGTGATTATCTTTCTTCAAAAGTCGGTATACAGGTACAGCAGAACAGTCTGCCTTTCACATTTGAAAACCAATGCACATCCAAAGTGAGACGGCTTTAGTCAAGGACCGCAAGAAAATCAATTAAACGCTGGGATTCACAAAGAATGCTTTGGAAAACAGAGCATTCAAAGAAGCATTGTCAGGACCTTGGAGAGCTCACTAGAAGAAGTTACAGATTGGGTAGTCTCCCAATAAAAAAAGGCAGTTCAGCATTTTTGGAATCAATGGGACTTTTTAGAAGGCTGGCAGGAACAGTAGATGCTTTTAGCTTAGTTCTTTCCTGCTACATTATCTATTTATTCATATATTCATACATACATAAGTACTACAGTTGGCCTAGAAAAATGTCATTAAATCAAGGAGTACCTGTATAGGAGGGTCATCTTCTGAATAGTTCAAATCAAGTCCTCGATTGATGATTACCAATTAACAAGAAGCCTATAATCTGAGGCTTGAGTGGGGAAAAAAAAGAGGATGCTGATGGCCTCTTTTGAACGAGAGTTTAATTCTGAGTTCAACACACTCAGAATCTGCAGGGTTTTGCTCAACATGTATCCCTAGAAACATGGCAAAGGAATCTCAAGCACTATGCTGGCAACAATAAAGCAAGGATGTAAACCCTGTTAACAGTCATACTACAAGAAACACTCAAGAATATGTGGGATGAGCAAAGAACTTAGCTTAATATGGAACATGGCAGAACAAACGACGTTTGTTTCCTTCACATAGTCGAGAACTGACTCCTGCTCAATTGATCCGCATGGGTTATTCACAGACAAGGGAGAAGGATGCTCACCTCAACCCCATAGCAGAAGTCAGCCCCTGCTGTCACTGCCATCATAGACAAGAGGCCAGTGCCAGTCCCAATGTCCAGGACAATGGCTTTTTCCCCTCTTTCTTTCACTCTGCTAACTGCAGCACGAATACCTTGAAAATACTTGACATTCTGTTAAAAGAAAGAAGGATCCATTATTCCAGCGTGTTCCTATTTCTTAGGCCTGGGCAAATGCAACCTATCATGATGGTTCTGGGATCTGTGAGCATTTGCAAAACAATGGATTAAAAGGTAAACTTTCTGAAGATGCTCATTATGATTCCAGATGTGGCTACATCAGGCCTATAGTATAAAAACTAGCTCAAAAAATCTGAAATGCAAAGTTTCCAATAATTGTACACAGACACCTGAAAATAAGAAGTCAAACCTAAATACTTAATACTTTTTTCATTAGAAATTATCAATGTAATTTAGACAATTTGGGGTTTTTTTGCCTCACAATTTAAGGCAATGCAGAGTGGAAGTTCATGGAACTACATATGAAATTTCAACATTAAAAAAATATATAGCTAAAACAAATAAATAACTTACTCGGTCCTTGTCATTCAACATATCTGCATAGCAGGACCTGTAAATAAAATTCAGTTTTCAGCTCAAACACAGTACAGATTCAGACAGCTATCAAGGAGCGCCAAAATTATCAGAAAAGAGCTAAATAAATGTTATTTCTGTTATGGCATATTACCAAATATGCAGGCACAATAATTGCACTGCTACATATAAAATGACAGGGAAAAATGTCGCATTTATGCACAGAACCCTCTGAAATAATGCATAGGAAATGGGACTCATGCACAAAAATGGACTGGATCAAAATAAAGAATGGGAGAAGATGTATCCTTAGATAACCTGATTCAGAGCTCTAGGAGCCCTCAACCAGCACCCTGAATTGCACCTAGAAGAAAATGACTCATAGTCTCAAACAGGGGGTCAGTCACTATTATCCAGATGTATACATCATTGTCTAGACCACCCCAATTTGCATGAAGTGAATGCTTTTCTGAATGCTTTTCAAGAGTAGGGCATGTAGACCCAGGGGTCTTCTAACTTGACAACTTTAAGACTTGTGGACTTCAACTCCCAGAATTCCTCAGACAGCCCTGGCTGGCTGAGGAATTCTGGGAGTTGAAGTCCACAAGTCTTAAAGTCACCAAGTTTAAAGACCCCTGATGTAGACTGAATTGCAAAAGTCCAGCTGAGAGATAAGTCCTCAATGATCATGAGTTAAAGATCTGTTTATTCAGGAATGGTTGCAATTTGTGGAAAAATCTTGGCAACTTGAAGACTTGTGGGCTTCAAACTCCCAGAATTCTCCAGCCAGATATGCTGGCTAGGGAATTCTGGCAGTTGAAATCCACAAGTCTTCAAGTTGCCAAGACTGGACACCCCTGATCTAGAAGAATACCATGGATGAGGGAACCAAAAGTTGCTGAGAAATCAAGGAGGCCCAGTAGGATTGTGTGCTGTCAAATCTGTCTCTCCAAAAGCTGTCAAGAAGTTCAAACAAAAAGTTTCTATGCTGTATCCTGGCCTGAAGCAAAGCTGCCACTGTGATATGTTGAATTATATACTAACATTACGTTTAAATATGCATATATATATCCCAACAGACCTTGCTATTTCCTGGTGGTAATCATAATTCTCGTCTTCCTCTAACCACTCCATGGCTCCAGTAGTCGGATTGGCTCTTCCACAGAAAACCTTCATGACCCTCTGTTTTATTTTGTTATTTGTGAGTACAGTTCTTTTTAACCCAGTTCCTATCTTTGGATACATACACTAAAACCTATTGCAACAAAAAAAAAATTGCAGTTTAGGAAATGATGTGTACAACCAAAATGTGCCATTGTCACATCAAAACAAAGCTTTGTGGTCTTCTGGGATGGGATTTACCCCGAGAACTGAAAAGAATAACCTAGAAGCTACATTTATATGCATACATGGTGGGGCTGCCCTTTACAGGTAGTCCTTGACTTACAACCATTCGTTTCATGACCGTCTTAAACCTATGAAATGGGCAGCTAGGTCAATTTCATAAATGAATCAAAAAGAAAACGAAACTTAGATGAATTTGATTATCTGACAGAAATCCCCACCCCTGAAATATTTGTTTATTTAATAATCTTGTTAAATAGGAATGGGAAAGCTTATAAACTATTGGTAGACCCACTATGTAAAGGGTTGGAGAATTTATGGGGTTTTGGTTGTTTTTTTTCCAGCAACCAGCCGGGGTAGATTCTATATTTTTAATGTTAAATTTATTTGATCCTTGGGTCGGTTTTTGTTTTCTTTTTCCGTACACCAATTTTTTTTTTTCCTTTTTTGTTGTTCGTGCTGGCTGTCTTGTCTTGTTTTTTTTGTTTTCTGTTTTGTATTTTATTTTTTGTGGATAAAACGAAATGAATAATAGAAAGAAAAAAGAAAACCAAACTTTACTGATTCAGCGGAGTTTCATTTAAGCTTGTTTTGAGGGTGAGGAATTCTGCCCATGCCCATACGCCTGGCTTTTCTGGATGACTATTTTCCTCTTGGGTCAAGGAATGAACTCCACACATGCTCAGAGGCACGGGGGCGGCAAAATGGGGAAGACGAAACGAGCTGCCTTCTCGTCCCCTGGTGAGCCGAAGCGCTTAACTTCCGTGTCCGGGATGTGGGTGGGATGGGGGGAGACATTTCCCACGGAAGCCCCCGCCCGACCGACCCACGAGCTCAATCGGCCGCCATCTTTCACTCACCGGGCGCCGCCATCTTCCCACCATGCAACGCGCGGAGCTGCCGCCTGGCTGGAAAACCAGCCGGAGATTGGTGGGACCAAAGAGGTATAACAACACACCGCGTCATCACACTTCCGGTTAGAGGTGGACATCCGTCCAAGCGGGGCAAGAGGGGTGGAAATCGTGGCACAGTCGCCTTCCTGTTGCTGATGCTCTGGGAGGGAGGATGATTGTCAGCATCCCTTCAAGGACAGACAATTAGCAAATGGAGTTCTCTCCTTGATCAGTTTCCATCCGTCGCTTCTTGTCCTGCCTGCAGGCGCTTTGGAGAATAGGTGGACCCCCCTCTTCTTTGGGGCAGCCCCTAAGAGTTCTCATTGTCTTCTTCTGGCATGCTTTTCAGCTTTTCCTTCTAGTCTTTAGCACTGTAATTTTTCTGCAGAACTCTCTTCTACTAACTAGGACTGACCCTGCTTGGCTTCCAAGTAAAGACGAAGCGGGTTGTTTTTGTTTCTTCCTAAGTGACTGATAGCCTTGTTCTTTTTTATCTTCTTGCTAACTGCACCGAGGTTCTTCAGAAAGAAGGGCAAAGCCGCACCATTCAAATTCATAATACATCAAACTATTGTTCCCTGGGAGAACCGGACATCGAGGTAGGGAATCATTTAGGCCTCAATCCCTCGAGAAAGCGGCGATGGCGTCATCAGACGGGGCGGCGATTCTACGTCATTCGGAGTCAGCCGCCAATCTGCGGAAGGACTGGCCGGCACGGCAAGCGGAACGGAGAAAGTTCCCATAGTGCCTTGCGCGTAGAGCGGCCTGGTCTTGGTTGCCATGGAGACCGGCGCCGTGCTGCGCGTGAAGAGAAAGCGCAGAGGCCCTTTGCCGGCCGAAGCGCTGGTCCTTGCCTGCAAACGCTTCCGCCTTGAGGCTGGGGCCGCCGCCGAGGCCTCCGCCGCCGCCTCGCCCGGAGAAGGTGAGGTGGAGAAGACGCTCTTCAAGTTAGTAGCCACCATAAACTCGGAGGTGAGGCCTCGCGTGTTTTGGCTGGGAACGTTAACAAAGAGATTAAATGTCTATTTAATCATCGTTAATATGTGAGCTGTTTAAGCGCTGCGGAGTGGGGCATTCTGGGAGTTGAAGTCCACAAGCCTTAAAGTTGTCATGCTGGCTGGGGAATTCTGGGAGTTGAAGTCCAACACTGATCTAAATAAGGGTCGTTCTTGACTTACAACAATTCATTTAGTGACCACTCGGAGTTACAACAGCATTAAAAAAAAGTGACTTATGACCATTTTTCACTCTCATGACCACACAGTCACGTGATTTACATTCAGATGTTTGACAACTGGTTCATATTTAGGACGGTTGCGGTGTCTCCTGGGGTCACGTGATCCCCTTTTGCAACCTTCTGACAAGCAAAGTCAATGGGGATTCACTTAACAACGGTGTTACTAATGTAACAACGGCAGTGATTCACTTAGCAAATGTGACAAGAAAAGTCGTAAAATGGGGCAAAACTCACTTAATTGATGTCTCACTTAGCAACATGAATTTGGCATTCAATTTGTGGTCATAAGTCAAGGACTACCTTCATTACTAAATTTTTTGATTTTTGTAAACTTTCACTGGGCAAAATATAGTGTATTTTGAACATTAAATATTTAAACATTTTTTTCCTACAATTAAGTATGAAAAGACTAATTTGGAGGAAAGGATTTAATAATTTAGAAACCTTATATTAACAGGGTTGATGTTGTATGTATGATTCCATATACTCTGTGTGTGTGTGTGTGTGTGTGTAGATAGATGATGGATGGAAAGATGGATGGAGAGATAAAGTTAACAGGATGAGATATTGGAAAAGGTTCCAAATACACCCATTTTGCACACTCTGGAATTATGAGTCAAGATTTAATATGTTTATCTTGAATAGATTCTTTTTCTTTTGGAAACCCTAAAGGGGTGAAAGAAGAGATTATGCCGAGTGGCAATTCTGGGAGTTGAAGTCCGTGCACCTAAAAATTGCCAAGGTTGAGAGACATTGCTCTAATCCAAGACACTAACTGAACTTCTTGAAATTGTCTTTAGGCCGAACCTGTTGACAAATACATACAGGAAGCTTTTACCCAACAGAAAGGAGGCCAGATCCTGCGACCTGCTCTAGGGAGTGCTAAAAGAATAATCCAGGATCTTCGTTCTTCAAAGCAAGCCAAAAGGCAGGAAAGCCGATACCGTCTAATCACAAGCCTCCGTCCAAATCTCAGTGATGGGGAAAATGCTGTTCTCGGAGCAAATGAGAAAGAATCCGATGAAAAGAAACCATCCTCCATATCTGAGAAAGACAAAAATGACGGCAGCTTGGGCTTTCAGTTCTTTGATATTATACAGGAGGAAGATGTGGAAAATGATACACCTGCTGCCCATTTACAGGTTAGTACTAAGTCCTGGACCAGCAGAAGTCTGCATTAAAGTGGGATAAGCCATTGATGCAAAGACAGTGACAAGATCCCAACTATAAGCTGACCCATACTGTATCTTAGGTTTAGAATAATGTTTTTTCAACAGGATCTCTCAGTCTTATACAGTCTGTCTCATAATCTTAGATTGCTTATGGAGTTCATTTGTGAGTCCTGCTGTAAATGCATTGGACATTATTATGTGGTCACACCTGTTTTAACTGCAGGATTCATATCCTGGAATATTTGCCATAAGAATTGAAGCCAATTTCCTCACTATGGTCCAGGATGGGACTCAAAACATACTCCTTCATAACAATCTTTTTAATGGTTTTCATTGCATCAACATTTTTTAAAAAAATAAAAATGATTTAAACAGAAACGAAGAATTGCAGAAATTTAAAATATGGTGTGAAATATTTCAGTAGCAATTAGTAGTTGGGGGAAAAAAGGAAGGAAAAGGAGGATATTTGATTTTTTTCTTACACTTTTTGTTTTATTTTGCCTTTCTTTTCTATCACTAAATCAAATCTCAACTTTAACATTTTTTACTTTTGTGATAGTGATAATATTAATTTAAATAAAAATATAAATGCCTTAAGGATTCCATTGTTTTGTATGTACATATGTATGCATGTATTTTTGTATTCTATTTCTTTTTATTCCTTTAATTAAAAATATGTTTAATGTATTAATAATCTTTTAAGTGTTGCTTTGTGTTCTATTGTTTTAGCTGCATTTTTATAAGCTGCCCTAAGCTTTTAAGGGAGTGGCTATTATACAAATATTATTAATGAACAATGTGGTTTGTTTGGTTTGGGCTCCATTGTGAATCCAGCTATTACAAAAGTCACAGATAATATTTCCAGGAATTGATCAGTGAAAGAAGTTGCCATAAGTTGCCCACATTTCCAGGCATGTCTAGGTCAAACTTTATGGTTTAGAAACAAGTTCTGAGAAGAGCAAGAACAACCCAGAACAAAGTGCAGTGTGTGAACCAGGCATCGTGTTGCAACAGTCTACTGCCCTTTGAGTTCAGATAGCCGTGGGCTAAAATACCTTTTGATGTTATACCACCTTTATGGTGTGCAGCACTCCTCCAGCCTCTTCAGCCACTTGGAAAGCAAACAAGGGACAGTTCCACATTATCTAGAGAACATCAACAGGGAAAACCCGGCTAAACTTTTGCAGTGTCTGTTGATGCAATGTCCTGAAGCTGTTATAATTGTGACATTAATACAGATGTCGTCCACGAACCCTGGTATTTGAACTTTCTAAACCATTAAGTTGGACCCTAATAGGTCTGGTAATTTGGACAAGATATCGCAACTTTTCATTGACCAGTTACTCAAAATATTGTCTCTTGTGTTCTGGGGTTTTTTTAAGTACATTTTACCAAGCTTCTGGTGTTATTAAAAGATCAAATACTGTAGTGAGTGGACACCTGAGAGTTGGTCCTTAAATTTATGTATTTCTAGCCTCACGTACCACTCAATAATAGCAGTCAAATAGAGTGCAGAAGTTTTATAAAAAGGCTTCTTGGCAAGTTCCTATTCGGACATGACAAAAATATAATAAACATGAGACCAAAAAATCAAGTAATACAAGTAATCCTTTTGGCACCACAGGGTTTTTTTCCTCCCAATTCTTGTGAATTACAAACTGTACCTACACTGGCATTAAAACTAACATTAAAAATGAAGCATTGTGTTCTCTTGGGTCCTTTTATCAAAATTGGTTTCACTTAACACAAAATGGTAAAAAGGCTTGTAACTTTTTGTTAAGAGATTCAATAAACAAGAAAGAAACTGTGTTGCCCAATTACTGCTCCATAAAATATTTGCTCACAAAAGGGAAAGAAATTGTTTATTTTTAATGTTGCCTTTTTTTCCAACTTAGTTTTAAGTCAAGGAATATAGTGTACTTTAAACATTAAATATTTAAACATTTTTTTCTACAATTAAGTATGAAAAGGCTAATTTGGAGGAAAGGGTTTAGTAATTTAGAAACCTTATATGAACAGGGTTGATGTTGTATGTATGATTCCATATACAGTGTGTGTATGTATGTGTGTAAGTAGGTAGATAGATGATGGATAGATGAATGGATGGAGAGAGAGTTAACAGGATGAGATATTGGATAAGGTATACATGTGGTTGTGGGTTGACCAAAAATAAAGACAGGATAACATTCTAATAAGTTCTCTCTTCCCCCCCCCCAAAAAAAACGTTCTCTATTGACTAAAAAATGTACATCTTAACAGAAATCACATCCGGATGTGATCCTTTGCAATGCTGTAGAGATGATTCGTGAACGTTTAACAGTATCTGACAACAGCAAAGAGGCAGAAGGTTGCTTAAATCAAGAAGAGTATGTCTATGATATCTACTGTACGGAAACAGCTGCTCCAGGGTGGATTGAGAACATTCTCTCCGTACAACCTTACACTCAAGAGTTTGACTTGGTAAGTAAATCAGAAATAGCATCTCGTAAGGCAGATACGTCAAACTCGTGATGTCACATGACGTATCGGAGCTTTTTCCCCATTGCCTGCAATGGGCCGGCATTTTGACACCCCTGTCCTAAGGGATGTAAAATTTAGGGAGGCTTTTTTTCTTTCCTTCTTGTAAAGCATGCTGTATTTCATAACTTAGAAGTGATTCAACCTATAAAATAACAGGCAGCTCCTGTAACTCATTGCCTTATAAGCTTAAATTGCAGGTTCTTCTCATTCAAATGCCTCTGCCCTCAAGATTATGGATGCTCACGTATCTTGTTTTTGCTTCAGTGATCCATGATAGGTGCTTGTTGTGCATTGTTCCTCAATGACAAGTGACAGTGTGTGTTGAAATGTAGGGGGATGAAGAGCAATTCCCTGAGGAGATCTATGAAGATGAAGATGATGAGAATAATGAGAACAACTGGCGTAATGACTACCCAGATGAAAATGAATTCCTTGATGAAGATGAAGATGGTACTTGATTGATAATCATATTTGTATACAGGTAGTCCTTGACTTAGAGCCATTGGTTTAGTGACAATTCGAAGTTACAGCTGCACTGAAAAAAAAATCTCTCGCTCTTAAAACCACTGCAGCATCTCCAGCCATGTTGTCAAAATTTGGGCGCTTGCTAACCAGCATGTATTTACAAAGGTTGCCGCATCCTAGTCACGTGACCACCATTTGCAACCATCCCAGCCAGCTTCCGGCAAGGAAAGTGAATGGAGGGAAGCTCCTTCATAACATGTCAGAAGTGGTAATATCTGGCCCAGTTTTATCTCAGTGGTGCTTTAACCTAGGGGACAATCAGCAGGAAAAAAACGTGAATAGATCCAATAAAATGTGTAAGGGCACAGGATATTTGTCCCTTTCCCAGTTTTAGTTTCTGCCATTAGTCCCCCATTCTATGGAAAAGGAAAAACGATCCTTAAAATGGAACGAAACAGTAATAAACTTATTTTTTTGTTTTGGAGCAAGTGTAAGAAAAGGAGTTGAGATACCGTATTAAAAAGACGGCAATAAATAACCAGGAGAAGAAAGACTTCCAAAATCATTCCAGCCCAACATCAAATTTACTTTTCTGTTTTCTTCTAGAATCAGAAAAAAACAGCGGAGATACCAGCGATGAAGATTGTGGATGTATCAGGCGATCGTGGGAGAAGTATGAATCTGAAGTCCTGCGGGAGTGTGAATATGACGGAATAAAGGAACTGGATTCTGAGTAGCTTGCAGGATCTTTCATAGTCATGAGACCCCGTGTGTGATGTGGCCTTAACAAATTGAGGCACCGCAACCCTCACTTGTCATGCTGTTTTGGCCAGAGCATCTTCAAATCAAGAGAAAGCGGATTGCCTTTAGCGTACCAGTCTTCGAAAATGAAGGGATGCAAGTGATATTGGCAGTTTTTGGGATCTCAGCCGTGGCGTTGTACAAGTAAAGCCTGAAATTAAAAGACATAGTTGCCATTTGGGGATGCCTGACAGCTCCTTTTGACCTTGAAGGCAGAGGTTTCCAGAAAAAAAAGTCTCCTAAAAAGATCTTTACTACAAGACTGGAAAGGTTGTTGTTATCTTATTGAAGCAAATAGTTTGTTTTTGTAAGCATTGTTGGATCACTGCCTGTAGATAGATCTATACTTGAAAATAATTGTTCGGATTGGAAATCTCTGCACCTTAATATTCCTAGTTGCCACGTATAAATCGTTAATAAACTTTCCGTATAAAAACGCTTAATTGATCCTTTTGTTGTTGTATACTTTTATTAAGATATCCGCCTTGACGTGTCCCTTTACTTTTGGGTCCAGGTTAGTGATATTTGACCATTCTCACTTCTTTTTGCATTGTTTACAAATGTAGTAGTTAAAATATGCAGAATTTGAAGTTTACCTGACCTTGTTTCCTCTGTGGAAATCCTCTGAAGGAAAATATTTTTAACCAGCCATTGTTATTTAGCTGATGCTTTCCTGCATTCTTCTACTATCTTTGGCGATAGTAAAGGACCAGTTCACGAAGCCATCCACGTTCCCTTCAGTTGCCCCCAACTTCCTTTTAGTCTTTCAATTTCAGAACTTTTAGTCTTTCAATTTCGATGTAAAAGAGGGCTGGCCCCTTTCTAGGTCATTTGATTACTTTAAAACTTTCTTACCATCTCCTTTCTGCTCATCCCATTTTATTCGGTGTAACGCGAGCCGCTTAAATTTCTCCTGTGCTTTGGGACCTTGGAAAGAAAGCAGAAAAGATACAACTGACAAACAGCATCGCAACAAGCGATGAAGCACAACTTCACAAACACAATAACTGGGAGGAGGTCCCAACCATAAACCCAGAGCGACTCTCAAAGGAAAAGCCAGAGAGACGAGTTCCTTGTGCTGCTTGTCAAAGCGCATGTTTCTGAAGACTTGGCCTACCCTGACATAATGGCCTGAAACCGGTTTTGTTTACTCCAGGTTGTGCCAAGTGATGCTATTTCTACCACATCCCTTCTGCAAATGGGCAGATGTGTTCTGCATTCTCCCCCCAACCCTCCGCCCCACAAAAAGCAGGCTGGAAGAACCGTCGGTGCCTCGGGACAAGTGCAGCCTTCCTGAACCCCCAACCCTGCATTCCCCCCCCCCTCCTCCTCCTCCTGGAACGAGTCCGCACATTGCCTGAGCCTGCTGGAAGCTTCAGCCCCTTACAAAGGCAGAGTGTGATACAACCCGGCCCGCTCGCCCATCTCCTTACCTCCTTCCACCACCACCACGATGGGAAAGGTCGTTTTTCAAAGGCCCCGGTGGACGGCGGATTGAATCGGACGGAAAGTCCGCCATACAGAGAAGGTCTTCTGTGAAAGGAAATTGGGGGAACGATTAAGAACGAAGGGCCGGAAGTCGGACATGATGGAAAGGTCCTTTTCTCAAAGGACCCGGGCGGCGACTGATATCGAGGGACAGGAAGTCCTCCATTGCCGAGAAGGCTTCTGGGAGATTGCTGGATTGCTGGTGAAGAACCAGCCGGCGGACATGCGCCGAAGGCCGAGGGAAGCGGCCCGTCCCTTTCGGAGGAGCATAGAGTGGCGACGCTCTGCGCTTTGCGGCTTAGCTTCTCGGTGTCCCCATGCTGGGCAAAAGGCCTCAACGTTAATGCTACGGGAAGGAAAACTCTGCCCTCCTGTGGTCAAAAATGGGTATTGTGGCCACCAAAAGAAATAAACGCTTTTAATGGCATTTTAAAATTACGATATTCTCTGTCTTTATTAACGGTATTAACACCTTATTAACAGGGCCAGGGGAGGCCCGTTTGCTGCAACGCACAGGCGCGGAAGAAGAAATCTGCTTCAAAAGCCTTCCACCTAGTTAAGGAGGACTATGATGCCGTATTAATATTAATAAGGTTTTAATAATAAAGAATAACCTTAAAATGCCATTGAAGTTTTTTTAATGGCTGCTATACCTGCTTCAACCACAGGATGACACTGTTTTTTGACTCTTAATAGTATCCAATAGCTTCAACAGATTAATAATAATCTTAAAATCATATTAAAAGGGTTTATTTCCTTTTGTGGCTGCTATTTCTTCTTTAACCGTAGGACTCAATTCTTCCCAGAACGCTTGACCGCTTTAGTCTCAATAAATAACTTCCCCTCTCCCAGGAAACAGGCGGTGGGAGCATAAGCATAAGCATAACCCAAGCAAAGCAACAGCGTTCCAACTAGAATTTAACAGAATATCTCTCTGCAGCAAAAAAAAAATGGAAAGCATCTCCTAAATTCTGCATATAATCTTTATTTTATTTTTCATTTATTAAATTTTCAATTTTTTTAAACAGCATTTTAAGCATTTTCCTGCTCAACAAGAAAAAGTTCTCTGTTGGAAGAAGGGACGATCCCCATCAGCACCCCAGAGGTGGCTGATGGGACTTGTAATCCAGTGGAAGCCCAAGTCGCCCTCTGTTCTCTCAATCCTAAAAAGCACAGCTGCAAAAATGATGGGGATATTTTAAAAACTGGGCCTTTGCAACGGGAGAGGGAGGTGGTGGGAGGCAGCCTCTCAGGCACAAGGCTGCCTGACAAATGGGATTTGTAGTCCAAAGGGCCCCGGGCGGGGCGAAGGCTCGTGGAGGAGGCATTACGCAATCTAATTATCTTCACCTGTGCGGGCCGAGGCACACCTGACCGTGATGAGCAGCTTCCCGCGCGGCGGCCGTCTCCATGGCAACCGCTGCGCGAGCTGGGAAAATAGCCGAGCGTTCGCACCTGTGTTTGGGCGGGAAAGAGTGCTTGCTTTTCCCGCCCAGCGCCCTCGGACTGCCTCGCGGGCTCCTGTCTGCACACCCATCTCGCTCATGATTGGCTGCTCCGGAAACGCTTCCCTCGGATTGGCTGAGCGGCCTCTCCCCTCTCCGAGAGGCGGGGGCATTTAAAAAGTCGGCGGGCTCCTCAGGCTGAGTGCCAAAAGAAAAACGAGCGCGCTGCAGAGGCAGCCGACGCCGCTACCGCGTCTCTTTTTCCTCAGAAGAGAGGCGATAGCGGCGTCTCCTGCCCAAAGATTCTGTCGCAGGGCCTGCCAGGTGTGCCAGAAAAGGCCCTTTCCGGTAGACTGCCAAGCTCTGCTAGTGGGAAGGCCCTTGGAGAGGTCCCTCCCGCTATTTCCCACCAAAACTGCAATATTGAGAGGAGCGGTGGCGATCGCAACCTCCCACCCTGTTTCCCGCTTCCTCTTGGGGTTTTTACTGGGCTCCCAACCTTACTCCATTTCCATCCCTGTCTCTTTAAAAGGAAAAGCCTTAACCTCACTGAAAGTGGCAAAAAGGGGGGGGGAATCCTCAAGGACAACTTACCTGTTTCCCCCCAGTTCCTTCTTAACAGCCACAGCAAGGGGTGGGGGGTCACCCATACTGCGGAGGCTCTAGGCTGGAAATCCAGGGAGCGTGACCTCCTTTCTCCACTGCCTTTTCCAAAAAGGCTGAAGCTTTCATCCGGCAGGCGTCCCCACCCTTCCTCCTGGCCGCTACATCAGTCGATGCAGCCGTGACTGGGGGAAGTTAGCAAAATTGCAAGCTGGACTCTGCAAAGACCCGGGTCTCCTGCTTCCCCCAGAGAGACCTGCTTTTCCTTTCTCTTACCTCTGGGCGGTGGGTGGGCTGTTTACGGCAACCCAAAGAAAGGGCAGCCTAGAAAAGTCAGTGCCCTCCTAACCATACCCAAGCACTCCTAGTTTGTTGGCGATGTCCATTTTGCTCTAAGAGTTCACGGTCACGTAACCCTAACCCTAAGTGGAATTTTCCTCCAATGGGATTTTCCCATGTATTTTACCAGGAAACATACATAGGGCAGCCTAGAAACGTCAGTGCCCTCCTAACCATACCCAAGCACTCCGGGTTTGTTGGCGATGTCCATTTTGCTCTAGGAGTTCATGGTGACGTAACCCTAACCCTAACTGGAATTTTCCTGCAATGGGATTTTCCCATGTATTTTACCAGGAAAAATAGATAGGGCAGCCTAGAAAGATCAGTGCTCTCCTAACCATACCCAAGCACTCCGAGTTTGTTGGCGATGTCCATTTTGCTCTAGGAGTTCATGGTGATGTAACCCTAACCCTAAGTGGAATTTTCCTCCAATGGGATTTTCCCACGTTTTTTACCAGGAAACATACATAGGGCAGCCTAGAAAAGTCAGTGCCCTCCTAACCATACCCAAGCACTCCGAGTTTGTTGGCGATGTCCATTTTGCTCTAGGAGTTCACGGTGACGTAGCCCTAACCCTAAGTGGAATTTTCCTCCAATGGGATTTTCCCATGTATTTTACCAGGAAACATAGATAGGGCAGCCTAGAAAAGTCAGTGCCCTCCTAACCATACCCAAGCACTCCTAGTTTGTTGGCGATGTCCATTTTGCTCTAAGAGTTCACTAACCGAACCCTAAGTGGAATTTTCCTCCAATGGGATTTTCCCATGTATTTTACCAGGAAAACATAGATAGGGCAGCCTAGAAAGTAAGTGCCTCTAACCATACCCAAGCACTCCGAGTTTGTTGGCGATGTCATTTTGCTCTAGGAGTTCATGGTGACGTAACCCTAACCCTAACTGGAATTTCCTGCAATGGGATTTTCCCATGTATTTTACCAGGAAAATAGATAGGGCAGCCTAGAAAGGTCAGTGCTCTCCTAACCATACCCAAGCACTCCGAGTTTGTTGGCGATGTCCATTTTGCTCTAGAGTTCACGGTGACGTAACCCTAACCCTAAGTGGAATTTTCCTCCAATGGGATTTTCCCATGTATTTTACCAGGAAACATACATAGGGCAGCCTAGAAAAGTCAGTGCCCTCCTAACCATACCCAAGCACTCCGAGTTTGTTGGCGATGTCCATTTTGCTCTAGGAGTTCATGTTGACGTAACCCTAACCCTAAGTGGAATTTTCCTGCAATGGGATTTTCCCATGTATTTTACCAGGAAACATAGAAAGGGCAGCTAGAAAAGTCAGTGCCCTCCTAACCATACCCAAGCACTCCTAGTTTGTTGGCGATGTCCATTTTGCTCTAGGAGTTCACGGTGACGTAACCCTAACCCTAAGTGGAATTTTCCTCCAATGGGATTTTCCCATGGATTTTTACCAGGAAAAATAGATAGGGCAGCCTAGAAAAGTCAGTGCTCTCCTAACCATACCCAAGCACTCCGGTTTGTTGGCGATGTCCATTTGTCTAGGAGTTCATGGTGACGTAACCCTAACCCTAGTGGAATTTTCCTCCAATGGGAT